TCCTGGTTGCTTTCACGCTTTGGTTCCCACCGAGCACGCAATTCTCACTTGTGGCTCCTGCGGCAACACCATGGGCAACTGCTTCAGCTTGCAGGCCAGACCTTGTGAGGGTAGCCGACGGGTCATTGACCCTCTGTGATTTTTCTAAAGGGTTCGCCTATCCTAGCATGTGAAGACTGGTTTCCTGGCGGACGAAGCGGATGAGATCAACAGAAGATCCAACGGTTTTGAAGGCGGTACCAGCAAGTGCTGTGGAGCGCATAAGGGCAAGGACAAGGCACCATAGAAGTTCTGACCATCCACTGCAGCCTGGCAGTCTCCAGACGTAACGGTCTCCGTGCCACTGGGTAGAGGCTTCCTAGGCCGAGGGAGTGGGACTGCCACCGTGCAACAACAGCCCCACTTTAAACAAAGTCACGCACAGGTTCATTCTACAGCTCATCACCATCTTCATCATCTACACTATCACTCGAAAGCTCTGCGGCGATAGGCAAGTGCCGAAGGTAACAGGGGCAGGTGAGCCCTGGCAGTTATAGTCACAAACTTGCACGCAGGCGGTCATTGGGCAAATGGCCGTCTGACTCCTGACCGTGGCAGCAGGATCTCTGGGCAGCACTCAGTGGCGACTGGGCAGCCTCCCAAGTACTGCACAGCCCACCCTCAAGGAGGGAGGGATCTAGAAACGGTGACCCAAAACAAACACTTGCCACTCAAAATCTGGTCAGTTTCCCCGCGACTGACAGACTCATCCATTTCGCGGTCGAAAACAACCAAAAAAAAAGGAAAAGAAAGATAATCCTTGGATCCTGGAATGTCAGAACTTTCCTCGATAGAGATAAGACCAACAGACCTGAACGAAGAACTGCTCTTGTGGCGAGAGAACTCCGACGCCACAATATTGTCATCACATCACATCACTTAGTGAGACGCGTCTTCCAGATGAGGTTTCACTAAAGGAAGAAGGGTGTGGCTACATTTATTTTTGGAAAGGAAAACCACAGACAGAGGAACAAATTCACAAAGTTGGCTTTGCCATCAGATCGGCTCTCCTGAAGAGCCTACCTGCTCTACCAGTCGAAAAAAGGAGCGCTTAGTGAAACTCCGCGTCCCCCTCAACAAGTCTAGACACGCCACAACCATCAGCGCTTACACCCCCACACTCACTAGCCTGGATGACGCAAAGGAACAATTTTATCAACTGCTAACCGAGATCCTTCAATCCACCCAAAAGAATGACAAGATTTTCCTGCTAGGTGACTTCAATGCCCGAGTAGGAAAAGATAACAGCAGCTGAGAGAATGTTCTAGGGCCTCATGGAGTGGGTAGAGTCTAGGAAAATGGTCTCCTCCTCAGCATGTGCGCTGAACATGGTATGTGCATCACAAACACCCTTTTCAGAATGGCTGAAAAGTTCAAGACTACTTGGATACACCCCAGGTCGAATCATTGGCACGTGATCGATTACGTCACTGTACGCCAGAGAGACAGAAAGGATGTCCACCTGAACAGAGCCACGACAGGACTGCTGGACGAACCATCGATTAGTGAAAACTACTATGGACATGCACATCCAGCCACTTCACCGAAAAGAACCTCAGAGTCTCCTACAACACAACAAAGCTTGAAAGCGAATTCTACAGAAACAAGTTCGTAGAAGCTCTCGAAAGCAAACTCAGCGAAGATCCCATTCCTATTGGTGACTTATCTGAAAAATGGACTTCCTTCAAAACTGCTGTCAATGAAACCGCTACTGCTATACTTGGTCCGAAAGCTAAAACACACCAAAATTGGTTCGATGAAAACAACGAGCAAATTCAAGCTACTATCCAGCCAAGAACAAAGCCTAGGCAGAATGGCAAAACGACCTCTCACCCCTCTCCCAAAAAGGAGATATTCAAGTCCCTTCTAGCTAGAGCCCAGCAATATCTACGTGAGATGAAAGATTCATTGTGGAACAATACGGCCGAACAAGCCCAACTCTATGCTGATACCTACAACTCCAATATGTTCTTCAGCTCTCTGGAAATCGTATACGGAACAAGAACCTCAGGATGTTTTCCCTTGTCCTCGGATGGCAAAACCCTGATCAAGAACCAAGAAAGGCTCCCCAAGCACCGGAAGGAGCATTTCAGCTCCCTTTTGAACAGACATTCCATTGTTGATCAAGACGCTCTCAATCAAATCCCCCAGCAACCACTCCTGGAGGACCTAGACGCTCCTCCTACTCCAGATGAATTCAATGAAGGCACTAAGCAAGACCAACTCCGGCAGAGCTTCTGGAAAAGACAGCATTCCGGCGGAGATCTCCAACGCAGTAGGTCCTTCAGCCCTGAAAACCTTCCTTGACATCCTGCTACAGATTTGTGAAGAAGAGAAAATGCCTGCTGATTTCAAAGACGCGCTCATTGTAAAGCGGGCTGCGGAAACTACAGGGGCATCTCCCTTCTCTCAATAGCAGGAAAAATATTTGCAAGGGTTATCTTCAACAGACTGGTAACCATCTTAGAAAAATCCTTCTAGAGGCTCAGTGCAGCTTTAGGCCAGAGAGAAGCTCTGTGGACATGATCTTTGTTATGAGACAAATTCAAAAAAGTGCACAAAACAGAATATGCCTCTTTACTCAGTCTTTATTGACCGTACAAAGGCTTTCAACACAGAGAAGCCCCGTGGACGCCCTAAAACGGATTGGTTGCCCTCCCAAGTTCCCAAAGATCATCCAGCTTTTCCACATATGCAGGAGTGGACAAACTATTGCAAGTGGCAACATGACTGCCGAATTCAAAACTACAAATGGCATAAAAAAGGCTGTGTCCTGGCACCAATCCTCTTCAATATCTCCTTCACCGCCATGCTTTCCCACGCCTGCATATGATCTTGAAAAGGGATTTGTATACCTAAATTATCGACTGGACGGCTCTCATTTTGATCTACGTCACATGCAAGCCAAGACAAAAACCAGCACAGGAGGCGCTCTTCGCCGATGACTGCTCCTTGAATGCTCACCGTGAAGCGGACCTGCAAACAATGCTCAATCACTTCGGAGAAGCCTCAAAGCTTTTTGGACAATAAGCAATGGGAAAACGGAAGTTCTTCACCAGCCTGCCCTACAAACTAACCTACTGTCTCCAAACATCACTATTAATGGCAACAGCCCGAAGAACTTTAAATATCTTGGAAGTATCATCTCTGCAGACGGCTCCATCGATCAGGAAATTGATTCATAAATCAGCCAAACCAGCCAAGCTCTCGGTAGACTGAAAAACAAGGTACCAAAACAGCACAATGTCCGGCTGTCAACAAAAATCAAAGTGTACAAAGCCGTTGTGCTCTCCTCCATCCTCTGCGGTCCGGAGACCTGGACTCTCTACAGGAAGCACATCATAAAGTTAGAGCAGTTTCACCAAAGGGCTCTCCGCAGCATACTTGGCATCCGGTGGCAAGACCGCATCACCAACATTGAGGTACTCAATCGATCAAGCTTACAAAGCATAGAAAGCAAGCTAGTCAAAGCCCAACTGAGATGGCTCGGCCATGTCATTCGCATGGAAGACCACCGAATGCCCAAACAACTGCTGTAAGGCGAACTCGAAAGTGGCCAAAGAAATCCCAGGAGGCCAAAAAAAAAAAAGCTGCTCATAGACAATAAATGAAAACCTCCAGTTTGCACAGGTTACCCCCAAAGGACTTGAAAGAACTGCCCCGAATGGAACGCCAGGCCTTCCATCTTACCAGCAGACACAGCGATACCAACTACAGGGAAAAGCTGACTATCAGAAGAGAGAGAGGAGACATAATCCAACCACCCTAACCACGACATTCTAGGAAGTAGTGGAAGAAGAAGACGAAGTAGTAGTAGTAGTAGTAGTAGTAGTAGTAGTAGTAGTAGTAGTAGTAGTAGCAGTAGCAGTAGTAGTAGTAGTTGTAGTAGTAGTAATAGTAGTAGTAGTAGTAGTAGTAGTAGTAGTAGTAGTAGTAGTAGTAGTAGTAGCAGCGGTAGAGGTACCGGAAGACCTACCTGTTCCTCCGTTAGGCCGTACTCTTTCATCATGTTTATGACATGGCCATTGGCGTTACTACTAGCGGCCACAAGCTGTTTGCCTGCCGCCAAGAATCTGGAAACGACGTAACATGCCAAGTGAATAGAAAGTTATTAAAGGGGGGGGGGGGGGGGGGGGCTACACCTGAAGGCTATCTCGTTTATTACCAAATTTCCCACATAAAACACGCATAGTAAGGAGTCTTAAAATCCGCAAACAAATTTGAGAAAAAGTTTCGTTTCCATGGATACGGCGGTCATGTTGGATTTTGTTGACATGTCTTACGTAATAAATACCGCACTTATCGGTCATGGAAATTGATTGTTTTTCTGCATGCGTGTTCACAAACATTAGATCTAAAAATTTGTCTGTTGTTTTTTTCTGAAACGAATTAGAAATTTTTTAAAGAATGTTTTCCTGGGGTAGTACTAAAGTTTGCCAAAAATCCATGAAAATCCACTCTCCAGACACCACCAAAAAAATCTATTCCATATATAAAAGATTCAAGAGATACATTTTTAGTATTACATCTTTTCTTCAGTCTGTGAAAATTTCATGAAGAATGGAAGAAAAGTGGTGGAGTTATTTAAACAAGTACATATGTATAGAGAAAAGTCGCGTTTTGAGAAAACGGGCGATAAAGAAAAATAAAATACTGACTTTATGAGGAAATGGCAGTGACAAACATGCCTGGTATGGGACAAAATATTTTTCTTGGGATTCTTATGCGATGAAATAGTTATAGGAGAGGCGTAGGAAGCTAAAAATGCCTACAACTCAAATTCCATAATTTTGAGCCGAATTTTAAATTTAGGGGTGTACCCCCCCCCCCCCCCCCCCCTTAAGCTGAGGAGACATTATAAGAAGAAAAGGAGGAAAGAAGGAATAACTATAGCATCATTATAATATATGACATTACTAGAAATAATATTATTACAATAATAACAATAATAATAAAAACAGCAGCAACAATAATGATGATAATAATAATAATCATAGTAATAATAATTATAGGAAGAAGAAAAAAATACCAATAATAAAAACAAGAATAATAGTAATAATAGTAGTAGTAGTAGTAGTAGTAGTAGTAGTAGTAGTAGTAGTAGTAGTAGTAGTAGTAATAGTAATAAAAGGCTTAATTAATTAATAAATAAATAATAATAATAATAGTAATAGTAATAATAATAATAATAATAATAATAATAATAAAAAAAAAAAATTAAAGATAATGGTAATTATAATGCTGATGACAATAATGGTAATAATGATAACAACCATATAAAATTCTTTCTTCTTCTTCTTCTTCTTCTTCTTCTTCTTCTTCTTCTTCTTCTTCTTCTTCTTCTTCTTCTTCTTCTACTACTACTACTACTACTACTACTACTACTACTACTACTACTACTACTACTACTACTACTACTACTACTACTACTACTACTACTACTACTACTGCTACTACTACTATACAATAAACAACAACTACTACTAAAACTACTATTATAACAAACTACTATTACTGCTGCTGCTACTACTGCTGCTACTACTGCTACTACTACTACTACTACTACTACTACTACTACTACTACTACTACTACTACTACAACTACTACTACTACTACTACTACTACTACTACCTAGCCCAAGAGGTTGTCATATTCGTCCATGTAGCAGAGTCTTGATTGAAGTCAATGAGCCAGTCGTAGGTAGGGTCAGTGGTCACTGTGAGATTGTTGTACTGGCAACGAGTCATGAAGGGCGATCCGGCGTTGAAGTCACCGGCGAAAAGCACCTGTGAAAAGAAAGGTGGTGATTGGAGGGGGAGGGGATGAATTGCATTGATCATCATCATCATCATCATCATCATCATCATCATCATCATCATCATCATCATCATTATCAGTTTTCTTCATTTGAAACTGAAAAAGGCAGCCAACAATGTGCATACTATTAAATATTCAGATGAATCTGTGTTTCTAATTTGCGTGTATTGGTTCGAAATGTGCTACAACATTGTCTTTGGTCCTGTGCTGATGTGACATACTACAATGTTGTATTATATATATCACTGTTACGTCCTTGGGGAGGTAACTGCTACATAACATACGCTGGTTAAGGGACTCGAGTATACTACCTTTAATTATTTTTTACTGAGTATTCAAAACGTCTAAAATGGCGGAATTTAAAGAATACAATTTTTAAAAAAGGCACTGCACTATGATGTTTTTCAGACAAAGAAACGCTACATTTGTTCCCTGGGATCATTAAGAAAAGATCGTCTTAAATGGTCATCTGAACTGACTTCGTATTTAAAGAAGGTCGTCCTGAATGTTCACGTGAGCTGAGATCATTTTTAAGAAGGCTCATCTAAATGTTCATGTGAGCCGAGGTCATAAAAATTATCAAACAAAACCGCCCTAAACGTTTACGTTATCTGTTGTCTTATCAAAGAAGGCCGTCCTAATTTTAGCATGAGCTGAGATCATATCAAAGAAGGTCCTCCTAAATTTTCGCTTGATATGAGATCATGATAATATTGTCATAAAGGAAGGCCGTCCTAGATGTTAACGAGAGTTGAGATCGTATCATATATCAGAGAAAACCGTCGTCCTAACTGTTCACATACACTTTGCGCAAATCAAAGACGGCCATCCTAAATTATGTTCTGAAGAAATATGTCCATATCAAAGATCTCCTGGGTGTTCACGTAAACTGGGTTCATATTCATTAAAAAAAAAGTAGGCTGTCCCTGTTCACGTGAGTCGGATTCATATATTAAAAAGACCCTCCTTTGTTCACGTACATTTGCACTGTAGTCATTAGAAACCGTTTTGAAGAGTTCTGGTATCAGACCCATCTCGTAGATGATGTTTAAGTGGAACAGGTGGACAGTGGTCAATGCGAATCTTGGGATACCTGTAGACGGAAATTCATGCTTAGTTTAGTTATGTTGCCATTTTATTCCGTACTAGACACGGCAGAAGTCAACTTAGGAGACTCTCTCTCTCTCTCTCTCTCTCTCTCTCTCTCTCTCTCTCTCTCTCTCTCTCTCTCTCTCTCTCTCTCCCCCCCCCACACGCTCCCTTTTTTCTCTCTCCTTCGGTTACAATTTATGTTGGATGAGAACAATTCGGACCAGTCTTAGATTTGTACCTCAAGGAGGTGCGATTGTTTGGCTTCGTCACCTACACTTTCGCTAAGCAGCTTTTTTTCCGCGTTTCTAGTCTGTGTCGTGACGTCAGTGGCCTAGTGGTTAGGCAACCGGACCCGCAATCGTGAGACTGGGGGTTCGGGGTTTGAGCCTCAGCTCGGTCCGACGCTGTGTCCTTGGGAAATACACTTTAGAGACTAGACGAATTTCCCTTTTGGCTCGGCCCTTTCGAAAATGGGCGTTAAACTCGGAGGTCCGCCTCTTACACAACACTATAGTGTTGATAAGGACGTTAAGCCTAGACTATTTCATTCATTTCGAGACTGGGTCAGAAGTAGATTTCGTTCGTGAAGAGTGAGAAAATAGAAAAGGGGAGAAGTTTTACAATCTATGCTAAACGGTCGAGACGTCTTCTTGCATGTCGGAGAGTATTTCAAATAATATATTGAAATGGAGAGAAAAATCTTGAACAGTTTTCTTCCAGCATATTTTTTTCCATTGTTGATACTTGTAACAGCGTGAAGTAGGAGATTCTCCAGAATTCTAACTGTTAACTTATACTTTTCTAAGCTTTTTCAGGGACGACGACATTGTTAGAAAGGATACCTCTGTATAAGACTACATAGCTTTATCTTACTTTGTTCTTACTCGGGCAGGAGACCTGAGTGGGACTCATTTTCATAGTAGAATATCTTGGTCTTTCAGCTAGGATGTTATGTTCTATCCCTCTCAGTCCGAGTTGGCCCTGCCAAGCAGGATTGCAACCATACGTACTCAATGATCTAAATTGTGTCGCTGAGGACGTACAACACTTACATTAATTAACACACGCATGCACACGCGCGCGTGCGCACACACACACGCACACATGCACACACACACGCACGCACACACACACACACATGCACACACGCACGCATAAACACACCTACTCACATGCACACGCACACAAACAATCCTCCCCCCCCTTAAAAAAAGAACCCACACAAAAACAAACAACTGGCAATACACATGTATCAGGTTCATTCGTTACCTTCACAGAATTGCAAATGAAAAGCAAGAAAAATCACGTAAACACCTTGACTCACTTAAAAAAAGAGAAACCACGTAAGCACAGTGACTCACTGGAATAAAGAGAAACCACACAAACACAGTGACTCACTGGAATAAAGAGAAACCACACAAACACAGTGACTCACTGGAATATAGAGAAACCACGTTAACATAGAGACTCACTGGAATAAGGGGACACAATCAGGGCCGAGAAGGGGTCTCTGTGGAAGCGATCACCGACATCGTTGTACCGACGCAGGCCGGAGAGAACAAGCCT